AGGGGGTCTCTGGCAGGGACAGTTTCCTCCAGATATTTCAGTGGACAGAGTTGAGCTGGAGTCTGACTCACAGAGGAAGAGCATTTCTGGTCCCACAGCCTCCCAAATTCATGGCATTACTGGAGCAGCCTTTGACTGTCCTTGGTACTGAGTTTTTCCAGCCCAGGGCAAGAGCTGGGCTGTGTTTTGGTTTATTTTTGTGACCTGGCTATAAGTCTTGCCATCTCATGCTTAAACTCTTATGGGGGCAGAATCAACCTGAAGGTTTTCTCCCTTATTTGAGCACCCTGACAGCACAAATGAGGTGCTGGGACAGGACAGGGGGCTGGTTGACCCTCCAGGTGCTGCTGTGACATGCCCAGCCCTGCTCAATCTCTGGTGTTGGCACCATGGAAGGAAAGCAGGCTCTGGTGAAGATCCAGGTTTCCTGCACCTTTGGCCATGTGCAGCAGGTGAACCCCCTGGAGCAGAGCTGGCACAGACAGGGCAGCAGGTTTCCAGCCCCAAATGGAAAGACTTTGGGCCAAAAATAAAATAGGAAGGTACAAAATCCTCCCCTCCTTCCCCATCAAACAGCCAGTCAGTCACACTGGCTACACTGAACTGAGTGGAGCACCCTGCTCAGAGAGAGGGACATTCACCCCACCTGTCCCCAACCTCATCACAAGCACCTTGTCCCCAAGGGTTTGTCACAGCCACCCCCATGGCAGTAGCCCCTGCTGTGCCTGCTCAGGTGTGTACATGGCCACCATCCAAAGGAAGGTCTGGAGTGTGTGGAAAATGGGTGTTACTGGAGCAGGGAGGTGCCAGGGAACAGGGGCTGCAGAGGGACACGGGGGCAGAGCGGGATGGGGCACACGGGGGTGCTCAGGGCGAGGCAGAGGAGGCAGGGCACGGGACAGGAGAGGGGTCACTGCCCCTGGACAGTCCCCAGGTGCAGGTGCCGGGGGCACGGCGCCCCCTGCCCGCCCCTTCGCCGGGCCCCCTGCTTTCATCACCCCCGATTACACCGAGTTTGCTTAATTGCTGAAGCTCATTTTACTTCGCTTGATCAAGCACGTTGATAATAAGTGAGAGGAACGCCTGCCCTTCGGAGACAGAGGCACGCGCAGCCAGGGGCCGGCCGGTCCCCCCCGGCCGCGCATCCCACCGGCGGCTCATTCCCAGCACCGGAGCCAGCGCTGCCAGGAAGGGCCGGGGCACGGGGTCGGTCCACGCCTGCTCACACCGTCAGCAGCCACGGGAGAGGGACGGCAGCCGGGCTTTGGAAAGTGCTGAGCATCCACCACCTCCCTCGGGAAACAAAGGGAGCACCCGTCCTGGACTCCCAAAGTCCACACCACCGAGTGTCCGTAATTATTTAGCTTAAGGATAATCTGCATCTCTCAGACACAGCCAGCCATCATCTCCGAGGTAATCTCAGGTCACGGAGTCAGAAGGAAGAGTAATCAGCCGTTCTGAGTGTGGAAGACACAAAGAAACAAGCAGTGAGAATCAGCTGGTGGCAGCAGGTCCGTTACATGCAGGGGGTCCTGCCACTAAACCTTTTCCCTCGCAGCTGGAGCAGCTCCAGCCCCTGTGCCTTGCCCTTGCCCCTGCCCTGCAGTTTGCCCGCTCTTCAGTCATGTTAATGCAGTCTGGGCTAGGAGCAGGCCCAGTGCAGGGATGGAGGGTGAACCAGACAGTCATCACCCGGCCCACGGAGGCCGCCTCACTAACTCAGTTAATGCAGAAAGCTGCTCTGCCATAATCACATTGCCATGGCTGTGGTTCCTCACAGCCCCAGCCCAGCTCCAGGCTCCACACATCCACGTTTGGGAACATTTCTTGCCGAGCTGTGTCACCCTGGGAATGTATTTTCCAGGTGCTTGCTCAGCACAGGCACAGGACAGGGAGCAGCCTCCTGAGGCAGACACAGACCTGAGGGTGAGAGGGGGGAAGGCCCTGCTGATGGATAAAAGATCCACAGAACAACTCCTGGGACCTGCTGTCACTGACAGGATGGGGTTGCAGCTCAGGGAAATTCACTCAAGTCTTACAGTGGCAGCAGAGAAGCCACTGGAACCCCACTTCCACCACATGTTCTGGACACCAGGGACAGAGAGTCAGACCTCACTGACAACCACAGTTATCCCCAGAGCTCCTCTGCACTGACTCTGGCAGGAAAAGCCCAGTGGGAACATGGCTGTATCCCTCATGGCTTTCTCCTCCTACATCTCCAGAAGTGGATGTTACATGCACCATGTGCTTGTGCCTCCCAGAAACTGGCCAGCTCTGCTCCAAAACCAGCTGCTCTGAAAGCAGCAGTGCCAACACAGACCCCATAACAGGGATCATCCTCCAGGCTTGACACCATCCTCCCAGGAGACACTGCCAGAGGCACTGACAGCTCTGCAGAGCCATGTCCCTGAGCCACAGGGACCTTCCTGTGCAGCCCTACCCAGGCATGGCTGAGGGGGGAATTGAAAAACAAGAGGTACCATCTCAAAGCCCAAAATTAATCTGATTTCTGAGCAGGTTGAAGCGAGAGTTGTTCCCAACTCACACACTGGTGTGGCAGCTACAGGGGCTCCTGAGGAGCTGCTGTCTGCTCAGACAGTGTCCCTTTCTCTGGCTCCAGTGCACAGCTGGCACATGGCACATCTCTGCCTGGCACAGGGGCTGTGCCAGCCCTTTGCTCACATCGCACAGCACAGCCCACATCCCCTCGGCCACAGTGAGACGAGCTGCCCCTTGCTGAGCTGGAGCAGTTTTGAAGGCTTTGCAAATCAGATTCCTGTCAAGGCTGATGTTTCCAGCTTAATTTGTCTGTTCACAGAGCACAGACACTGGGTTTTTCCCCTAAATAGCCCCAGTATCAAATGACTTGTAAGCAAACGGACGGATCAGTTGCAAGAAGAAACCGATTATCCCAGTTCCTGCCTCCCGCTGGACTGGCACCCCCTGAGCGGTCTGCCCTTACAAACCAGCTGGGGTGCAGCCTGGGCACAGCCTCAGCTGCAGCTCAGGCTCCTACCCTGTGTGCTCACCCTGCTCTGACAACCTTTATTGTCTCCTCAGGAGCTGCAGCCCCATGCAGGGCCGCTCTTCCTTCCTCACGCTGCTCCTTCCTGCATTTCACATCAGATTTGCTTTAAAATTGCCTCCTGAGCACTTTGCACCTTGCTGGGATGGGATTTGGTGCTATGAACTCAGTTAAGTGCCTGGTGGTTGCTCTCATGCTCCTTTTCTCCCTCCTGGCCATGGACCCCACCAGTGGGATTTCCATCAGCTTTGGCAAGTTAAGATAAAATCCCTTTGTCACAGCATTGAAAGGCCCACCCTGGCTCTCCACAGCACCCAAGGAACACCCGCTTGCCTACTGAGGCACAGAAAAGCCTTGAAAAGGCTTGTGATGTCTTCTAGAGTATTTTTTCACCTGTCCAGCAGCCAGGCTCCTACAATTCAGGGAGCAGACACTCCAGAGCTTTGCTCTGAGCCACAGCCTCCCACCCTGCCATGAACAGAGTCTGGGATGGGGAGGGCAAACAGCACCATCACCTGAAAGCCCAAACGGTCCCAGAACACCTGTGATGATGGAGAGCCAGCAGGATGCCCCTTTTAGGATGTCTTTAAGATGCTCAGGTCGGAACATGTCCCTGCACATGATCCCCCTGGATCGCACACAGCCGAGCACAGAGCCAGGCCAAGGCCCCAAGAGCAGCCCCATCACATGGTGCCCCCCATGCCAAGCCAACAGGGCCCCCCTGCCCGGGCACGGTGCTGTGCCAGCGGGATGCAGCACAGGAAAGGAGGAGCGGAGCAGAGCCGTGTCAGTCTGAATCAGCCGCCCGGGGCCGTTGGCGGTGCGGGAGCTTTGGCTGGTAACGCTGTTCTCAGGCCCTGGGAGCTGTTGCTATTTTAGTCCTCCTGAAACGTGCAGGAAAAGGAATCCGGAGGCTCTGTCTCCTGCGGAGATGTTTGTGCTGACCCAGTTTGGAGGCTGCAGAGCAAAAGCCACGTCACCCTGCCCCCGGCTCCTGCTGCGCCCGCGGGCACCGAGAGCGAGTCACCTCCCGAGTCACCTCCTTAGGGCCACCCAGCCCACGCTGCACCCACACCATGACGTGGGGCAGGGGCTGCTCCTCCACCACACACCAGCCAAGGCAGGGATCCGGGGGTTTTACCCCCATCTGCCTCACCCAGAGCTCTTCAAACACTCAGCACAGTGTGTTTCTCTTCTGTCAGAGCAACGGGTCACCCACCAGCAATCCAAACCCAACCCCCAGGGGTGGAGATGACTCCAGCAGAGGTTGTCCCTGTCCCAGAGCTCCATGGTGGCAGCCTCAGCCCCAAAGCCAGGCAGACAGGGGTGTTAAGGACAGCCATGCAGGGCAGGCGTGCCTGACAGTGCTTCAAACCCCTCCAACACACATCCATCTGTCAGAGCTGCTGAGACAGCGCTCTCGAGCCAGGCTGAAGCTCTTCAGTGTGGGAAAAGTGCTGAGGCTGCCTTGCTAGGTACAAAAAACAGCACCTACCAAATGACCTCTGTGCTTTGGGGCCACCTGTGGGATCCAGATCAAACACCTGAGCCCGTCCGAGGGCACAGAACGGGCAAATCTCCACACTGCTACTCCCATGACCTCGGCCTTTAATCAGGGCCCAGAGATCACAGTTTGAGCCTCTCCCTCTGCTCCCAGTCCTGCCCCAGAGCCGAGCTCTGGGGGAAGGCTGGACGCTGGGCTGCACGGGCTCAGCTGTGCAAATAGAGATGCTGGGAGGTGTCAGCCCAGCCCGGCCCAGCCCCAGCCAGAGGATGCAAATGCAGTAACTGCTCCCCCGAGCAGGGCAGGAAGCTGCAGACACAGCAGCTCCTGAACACAAACTCACTCCTCACCTGGCAAACAAACAGCCTCCAGCAGTGCCCTCCTGGCTGGAGCCCCACCAGAGCAGAGCCCCCGCGCAGGCCGAGCCCCGGGCTCCGAGCAGGTTTCCCAGCTCCCGCCCGGCTCTCTTACCTTGCTCTCCGTAGGAGCTGATGCCGGATGTTGCTGCTTGGTGATGTTCTCAGCCAGACACCAGCAGATCCTCTTCTTCTGCTCCTGGGAGTAAGCCTCCAAACTTAATAAGCACTCCGACTTCTGACGTAAAGGAAACACAGGCAGGGAGAAGGTCATTAGCTGTGTGTCGCAGGCCCTGGCTGTGTTTGCAAACTCCTTGCTCCCCACACAGCACATCAGAGGAGCGTGGGTCTAACAGGAGAGCTCACACCGTGTCCTGTGCTCCAGGCAGAGAGAGCAAAAGAGAGGGAAATCAGCTCCCAGTGGCATCTCCTCCAGAGAGAGGGAGAAGGGCTGGGTGGTGCAGGGGAGCTGACCCTGCTTCAGGGCAGGAGTGCAGTGGTACAGCACGGGCACAGCACCAGCAGCTCTGCACCCTGTGCCACCTGAGTGTCTATTAAGCTAATTTAGAGAGTGGAAATTGCTCTTTGCCATATGCAAACACAAATGAGGCACCGGAGCATGAACTGATGAGAACAAGAGCCTTCGGGCTGGGTGGGGCAGGGAGGAAAGACTGAGCTCAGGGAGGCTCCAGAGCAGCCTCCCCATCCTGCTCCTCACTTAGTGCACACTTCAGGGTGGATTTGGGGATGAAGATCTGGTCACACACTCTCTGTGAGCAAGGAAGGAATTATGAGAAATGATGGGAGATCATCCCAGCTGAGCCCACCTTCTCTTGTGCCACAGCCCCTTCCCTGCACGTGTCCTTTTTGATACAGGCTTGTTCCTCTTGGACAGGTTTTCTTTGGGCCAAATCTCACTCATTTAAGGAACTTTCTGACCAAGTTCTCTCAGCAGCTGTCTCCCAGCCCTCAAACTGCTTCTCTTTCATGCTAAAAATTAAGCATTAGTAACATCTGCTGTCTGCTGGGATTTTGCAGGTTTTGCTTTAGGAAGGGTCCAGAAATGCCCAAGGCTGGATCTTCTCCTTCTATGGCCAGATGGGAAAAGAAAAAAAAAAAAAAACCAAAACCAAAAGCAGGACTTTAGGACAGACTGCAAAGAAAGAAAAAAGTGTCTTTCACTAAGGGGCATGAAAAAGGCCTTTTCTTTCCCCCTAGAATTTCCTTCCAGAAGGGCAGGTCCCCAGTAACCTGTTTTTTTTTTTCCCAGAAAGGTCTGAGAGAACCTGCAGCTTTGTGACTCCAGAGACACAGCACAGCCAAAAGGGGAAATGCTCTTTAGTCACACCATTTAAATCACTGTTTGCATTGGATGTGAATTCATTCATGTTTAATCCAAAATCCATTCTGAAGTGGTAAATAAACCAAGCTCCCACGCCACCTCCAGGGAAAGGGATCTCTGGTTCAGTCCTTTGCCCCTCCAAGGAGACTTCCATGAAAGACAAGGTTTGGGCTTTCTTAAGTCTGGACATCACCACATCAATTCCTACAGCAGAAACAGGCTTAAACACTGCAAATGCATGAAAATTCCTGAGCACATTCAGAATGAAGAGAGGTTTGGGATTCAGGGACACAGGGCAGTGGGGTCCCACTCACCCCCTAGATCCTGGGTGGCAGTGATGCTCTGAGCAACCCTGGAGTGTCACGGGGCTCCTTCCCATCCCAGATGTCCCAGTCTCTCCCACTCCCATGCCAGCAGTTCCCCAGGCTGCACCACTGTGCTACCCACTCATCCCTAGGAAGGTTCCCAGATGTTCCCACTTTCATAGGAGAGGATGGGTACCCATATGCTGGGATGGAAATCCAGGCTGGCATTTCACAGCACTTGGGGCCAGAACTGAAAGGAAGCAAAAGCTGAGCAGAGCCTAAAATCCATCAGTGGAGCTGCAAGGAGCACAGTGCCCACACTGATGCTGCAACCACTGCACATTCCCAGCCCTGCAGAGCTCCTGTGATTCCCCTGGAGCGAGGCTGAAAGCAATTCCAAGGACATCTCATATCCCCTTGCTGGTGACAGACGGCAGCTCACCTACCCCTGCCCTGCAGCCCCTCTCTGATTCAATTACAGGCCATCTCTTTGATTGAATTTACATCCAGCCATGCTCAGCTCTTGCTGGCTGTTGAGAGCAAAGTGCCCCTTTTCCTCCCTCCCTCCAACTCAGCCAGTTGCAGACTCCCTGCCCCAGCCACCTGGGAATACCACAGCCAGGAGAGGAGATTGCCCTCTGGTCCAAAAGTCAGAGAAAGGCAACTACCCCGGTATGGTGTGCAAGGCTGAGGGGGACATGAACAGCCAAAATTACATTTCTCCAAGCTGGACATATTTTACCATCATTTCTGTGTAGTGAGATCCCAGCCCTTTATTCCCTCACAGTGACATTGAACCTCTCCAACACACTTTTCCCAAGGGAGGAGCTCTGTTTCTCCCTCTTCCACAGAATCATAGAATGGTAAGGAGTTGAAAGGGACCTTAAAGATCATCTCGTTCCAACCCTTCCTGCCAGGGACACCTCCCACTAGACCAGGTTGCTCAAGGCCTTATCCAACACTGCCAGGGTTGGGGCATCCACAGACTCCCTGAGCAACCTGTGCCAGGGCCTCACCATCTTCACAGTAAAAAATGTCCCCCTGATATCTAACCTAAATTTGCCCCCTTTCAATCTGTACTCCTTGTCCCATCCCTACAGTTGTGGTACTGCAGCACATCCACCAACCTGCTCCCCCCAAATAATGTTCAGCTGTGTTGGGGACAGTGGCAGCAGCCCCCAGGGGCTGAGCACCCCCAGCTGCCTCCAGAGCCCAGGCTCCTGCTTGCAAAGTCCTTTGGGATCCAGTCAGATGAAGGACTGGGATGTGGGATAAGCTTGTGTCCACGCTGGGGACCCAGCTGCCCACCCCCAGGGAGCTGGGGCAGGAGGTGGGTGAGCAGGGGCTGTGCCAGGCCCTGCACACGCTGGGAACTGGCCTCCCCACCATTGTTTTCATTCAGGGAGGCTGCCCCGGCCCTGCCAATATTTACAAAGAGAAAACAGGGTTTAATCTCACGGTGCTGGGAAAGGAGGATGCAGATGGCGTGAAGGGGGCGTTTGCCACCAGATACAGAGTGACTGAAGTGGCTGCCAGTGGCTCTGTGCCCGCCTGCCTTCCCCCAGAGCTGGGAAAAACATGTTATTGCAGGTGCTGTGTGAGCCCACGGCTCTGGGGCACCCCCAGCACTCTGCTGTGGGAGAGCAGGGGGAAAACACACACACTGCAGGGAAGGGCCCAGACTGGCCAACACCAGCCCCAAACGGGCCCTGTTACAGCCAGGGGTGAGCTGCAGGAGGAGGTTCCTTTTGCTCCATGGGCACAGCTCACCCCTGGGCTCAGACCCAGCCCCACGGTGCCCAGGAGCAGGAGGAGATGACAGGCAAGGGGTTTGGCCAAGCAGAGCTCCTGGTTACCCAGCAGAACCCCCCAAGGAGGGCCTGTTGGCTCTGCAGTCCATAGATCAGCTGAGGAGCTCCCAGAGAGCAGCACATCAAGGGAGGGGTCCCCAAACTCTGCACACTGAGACCCCACACTGCAGACATGCCCCTCTGTGCAGGACCCAGCACACACCTGGGGGTCTGCATGGCACTGCAAAGCTAAAATGTCCCAGTAACAATGACACAGACTCAGCCTGACACCTCCGGTGCCCTGAGCTGGTGCCCAGCCGAGCCCAGGGCTGTTCTCTCATCACTGTCTCCCCAGCTCTGCCAGCAGACACATTCCTGGGGTGGTCGTGGTCATGGAACCACACACTGGTTGGGGTTGGAAGGGACCTTAAAGCTCATTCCATCCCCTGCCACGGGCAGGGACACCTTCCACTAGAACCTCCATCCAGCCTGGCCTTGGACACTTCCAGGGATGGGGCAGCCACAGTTTCTCTGGGCAACCTCTGTCCTGGGGTAGATGTTCCCCTCAGAGATGAGGGGATGCACTTCAGGTCCTTCCCCCAGGCTCCTCTGCCCCTCAGGTTTAGGGCAGGGTGTTCTGGGGACAGGGCTCCCAGCCCAGCCCTGCCAGGCCCTGGCCTCAAACATTCCCAGTGCTGGTCCGGGGCCAATCCCAGCAGAGATCCCAGAGGGGAAGTACCTCGGAAATGGGCTCCAGACTACAATGGCTTTAAATCACAGAGCAAACCTTCCACTGGCCCTGGGAATATCCTGTGCACAAAACAGGGCAACTGCTGCCTGGTTACTTCATGCCCACAAGCAAGGTCTGATGAGAAAGTTTTGTTTGCTCCCGTGCTGGAGGGTGGGAGGGACCACGGCTCTTCCTGTGGCTTTTGGACTGCTGGGCACACTGGTGGTGCCCAAAGAACAAACACTGGCAGCCACAGCAGGGGCCCACTGAAATCTGGGATGACCAGAAGGTGACAGGATGGCAGGAGAGCTGCAGCAGATGATGTGCAGGGAGCAGGGCAGGGCACAGCAATCCCTGCAGGGCTCCTCCCTGTGGGGCTTGTTTTTGGGAGCACTGCATGATGGCACAGCCTGAAGGGTGCCTGGAGAGGCTGTGGCTGCCCCATCCCTGGAATGTGTCCAAGGCCAGGCTGGACAGGGCTTTGGAGCAACGCGGGCTACGTGGAAGGTGTCCTGCCCATGGCAGGGGGTGGAACGAGAGGAGCTTTAAGGTCCCTCCAACCCCAACCAGTCTCTGATCCTATGATTCTATGCTAAGCCTCCAGGAGGAAAAGCCACCCTGAAGAGCCTTTTCCACCCGCTTTGGAGCAGCCAGTGAGGACACAGGGCTCGGTCTGTTTTCACAGGCCAGCAGATTGTCATGAAGTGGCTCATCAGATAACAGCCTTCCCAGGAATTCCCCAACCCTGAGACAAGCCAGGCAATGAGTTAGTGCTGAAAACACCACTCTGGCAAACAGAGAGCAGGTGTAGCACCTTCCTGCTCTGCAAACACCCTTCCCTCTCAGGGAAGCTGAGCAGCCTCAGTGGCATCAACACCAAGCTTACCCACCCTCTGCCAACACAGCCCCAGAGCTTTCCATCCCTCTTCCCCAGCACAGCCCCATGGACAGCGAGCTCCAGCCTGTGCAGACAGTCCCAGGACCCTCTGAAATCACCTCATGGTGCCTGGACCTTTTTAAAATCTCTCCAGTACTGCAACTGCACCATATCAACTCTTCTTCTTGCCAGCA